AGCTTAAAACACTAACCCTTTTATTATAATCTCATGATTTTATGAGTCAGAAATTTGGGCAGGCCTCAGCTGGGTGATTCTTCTGCTCCAAGGGTGTTAATTGAGATTACTCACTGGTGTGCAACTGGTGGGTGTGCTGGGGTTCAAGGAGGCTTCACTAACACGTCTGGCCCCTGGGTGGGGATGGCTGAAAGGCTGGAATCAGCTGGGACTCCTGCCTAGTGCCTATATATGGCCTCTCCAGGGTGCTTGGGCATCTTGCCAGTTCAGGGCTCCTAGAAAGAGTGTTCCAAGAGACTAGAAGCTGCAAGTTCCAAAAGAAGCTGCAAGGCTTCTTTTGACCTAGTCTCAGATACCACATATTGTCACACTTCTGCCACATTGTGCATGATACAGCGAGCCATAGGGCCGAGATTCAAGGAGAGAGGCTACACACAGGTGTGAATCCAGGGAGGCATGGTTCATTGGAGGATAGTCCCTGGAGACTAACTTCCAATTAATGTTCTTAATCCGTATAGGTGAAAGCACCACTCACATTTTCATAAGAAAAAGTTATGTTAAGGAGTCTCAAACTGTACTGTCAAGGAAACCTACTGTTTCGCTGCTAATGTTAAATAATGACAGTCTGTTCTATATTTGGAAGAAAAACTGGCATTACCCAGGGTTTTTTTAAACTCAATCTTTTGTTTCCCCATGAAAATATTTCTTAAACCCTTGCTGCCTGATACCGTTATTCCTTAGTAGTGAGATAGGACACGTTTTAGAAATATTTTGTTTTTCCCACAGCATTTTTCTCCTTCCTGGTTTTGTGATGACAGTCAGGCTCTTTGTGCTCCCTTGCCCAGCTCTGAAAGCAGAAGGCTCTTGCAGACACTTCCCTTTCTGGCTTTTGTTTTCATGAAGCCTAAGCTTCCAGAATCTTTTGTGCAGGAGGACAGGATGGAAGAGGCAAGAGTCAAAAGGCAGCAGAAGTTAGCCAGTGCCTCGAGCAGGTAGGTTTCCAGAGCTTCACTCCGCTGCCTTTCCATCTACTTCCTTTCCTCCCCATACTCATGGAGTCTCCCAAAGTCACCTCTTTGGAATCTCTGTTTCTGTGGAGAAGAATTTGAAAATCATTGCTCTAGATCAGTCATTCCTCAGCTCCTCTGAGCTGGGGACTTAGGGGAATGGCAGAGTAGAAGCTGAGGAACTTCAGATACAGATGACCGTGTTTCTCTTTTGCAGGTGTAGGGGATAAAGAAAATAGTAGAGTTAAAGGTGATTGTAACTTTTTTAGCCTGGACATATGGAAGAATGCTGATATTTGAAATACCAGCGAGTAATCTTGCTGCTATTCAACTGGTGTCATGGAAACTCGAGAGCTGAGTACTCACTCTTGAATATTAAGTATTGGCAGGGAGTGAAGAACAATTAATTTCATTTCTGTAATGCTAAGTTTGAGGTTATGGTACAACACCCTAAACCAGGTAGCTGATAAGCAGCTGGAGAGACGGAATGCCACACAGATGAACAGGTGAGAGACGTAGGTGAGAGATTCCAGCCACTGTTGCGGAAGTGAGCTCAGAGATAAGAGAGCAGGGCCTGAGGACAGAGCCTTCAAGACATCCCGCAAAGGTTGAAAACTGGGGGCCCACCTGCTCCACCCAGTACACAGGCATGTTTCACTTAGCTCAAACATTGTTTAAATTATTTTTAAATTAACGGTCAATTTAATTTGATATAAAAATTGGGAGTTTTAATGAAATCTGGATGCCTTTTCTAGAAAATAGGAAGACTTGACAGTGTCGGGCCCACATTCTCCTGTGGCGAGAGTTGAGTAGCCACTGCCCTATCGGATGGCGCTGCCTCTGAGAGGTCAGACACAGTCCCTCTAGTCAACTTCACCCATTTAATGGCAGCGAGAAGTGACAAAGATTCTCTCCCTGACCAGACTCTAGCCAGGCTCCTATGAACCCTTTCTCAGTTAGGCCTCAAACTTGGCCCATAAAGACTTGAACAAACACTAACAGTTTCTAACAGCTTAAAGCCACATCCCTGGGATGACCCCAGCCTCCTTTAAAGTGCCTTAATGAGAAAAGTCAAGACCACCAAAAAGATACCATTTGTTCCAGCCAACACCTGAAGATAAGACCCCAGTCTCCCAGCCTCTTGGGAGGGAAGGTACATAACCTCCATTAGTGCCAGTTAACAAGCCCAGATGGGTTTCACATGGACCAACTCCCCCCCACCCCCCGCCCCCGCCTTCTCTTCTCTCTTTTTGTAATTTTTCACTTCCCTGGCTCTACTGGGTCCCAGCTCATCCCCCTCTGCATCCCTTTCTCCCTTTATAACATCCAATTATCTCTGTACAATTCCATGCTGAGTTCAGTTCACTCTGGGCTCTCTTCCCCCTTGCAATACTGTATTGATTAAAATCTGTCCTTACCACTTGATAGCGTCTGGCTCTGTTTTTCTTTGACAGAAGGCTACTAGCCAACAGAAACCAATGAAGGGGGTAGGTTTCATTGTTGTTTTAAAGATGAGGAGGCAGAGCATATTTGTTTCCCTTTTTTGCCTTCCAGGAAGCTGGGAAAAGGGAGAAATCAAAGGTGTAAAAAGATGTTGACTGTTGACAGGGTACAGGTATTGGATGAAGTTGGTAAGAATTCCAAATGTAACTGAAACATTAGTTATAGGGAGGGAGAGAGCTGTCTTCTTCTCAAATTAGAGATAATGATGACAAGATATAGATATGATGAAGAAACCAGATGAAGAATAATAAAACTTAAGGAGTGAGAAGGTAAAAATCTACCCTTCATTCATCAGACTGGAATATAACAGCCACAGATAAAGCCAGCTACAAAGTGAACAAGAAAAAGTATTTCTCTTAAGGACATCCTACATCCATAAAGTGTCACAACAACCTTCTTTGAGTGACTACTGATTTCTTACCCACTGAGAAACTTGGTTCTGTAAAATCATAGAATGTTAGAAACGGCTCCTTGAGATTGTATCATTACAAATAAATAATCCCACTCTTGCCTGAAGGATTTAAGACTTAGAAAAGAAGCCTGGATTTCCAAGGCAAGTGAAGAGCTCGGAAAAAGGGATTTCTGAAGATATTTCACATCTATCTTAACTTTGTAGTATTCAAGGAAATAGGACCTGGGGTCTGCTGTAGTCCGGACCTGATGTTGATGCCTTTACTCACAGATCTGCTTTGCTTGGAGCCGCTTAAAACATTGCTTCATTTAAATTTTCCCAAAACTCCACACTTCCCATAAAAACCCTGAGATAACTCAATCTTTTCCTTCGGTGAGATCCTCCACGGCTTCTCTGGTGTGAGCCCTTCCTCATTGCAGTGGATCAATAAACCTGAATCTGTTGAACTCTGGATTTGTTTCTGGAGGTTATTAGGATGACTGGGTGAGCATGGGGGGCGGGGGGAGGAGGAGACATCGGAGGTTTTCATAGCCCAATCCTTCATTTCACAAACAAAAACTGCGGACCAGAAGAAAGGTTCCCAATTGTCATTGTGATACTGGCGCAGACTACCGCCTACCCTGGCAGAGAGGGATCTTGCCCTCCACGCAGAAAGGATTTCAAATGCAGGGGCACAAGTGAGAGAAGAGTTCAGACATGAGAGATGAGCGAAAGCAGAGAGGATTATTGGAAAGCAAAGTACACTCTTACAGAAAAGAGCTGAGTGGACTGAACCACAGAGGAGCAGTGTCCCCTAGGGTTAAGGTCCGTTCTTTTTTGTGGAATCTTAATGCTGTGCTAAACTGGGGGCAGAATATTCATGGATTTTCCGGGAAAGGGGTAGAGAGTTCTTGGAACTCTTTTCCTCCATATAGGGTAAATTTCTGGGGGTTGCCATGGCATTTGTAAACTGTCGTGGAGCTGGTAGGTGTGTTTTTTTATTATGCTAACAAATCTAGTTCATTCAGGGACAAGTGGCCTCAGCTGTGCACATGCTCCAATTAAAGGAATTCTCCCTTTTACCGTAAAGATGTTATGGCTAAAGTAAAACCACTATTGGTTACATTTATCTTAGCTAAGCATATTCACATTCTTGTGACCTTCTTTTCCTCTTGGCTTTCTCCTTCTGACCCCTATCCTACTTGCCGCAGGGTATCTGACTCCTGTCTCAATTGCAGTTCTCCTTACCTCAGACCCACTTCCACACAAAGAACTTTCATGGTACCCATCTTCTAAAAATATAAGGTGAAGTCAACTATGGAGTGTAATCCACAAATTTATCTAGGCCTTTTAAGACCATCTTTAGCCCCAGGTCAGTCATTCCTGCGGTATTGAGACTGATGAGTTCCACGCGTTCATTATCGGGAGGTGGGACCTCTGAGTCCGAGCGAGACAGAGTGGGCAGGGCTGGGGTGCCAGGCCAGGGCAGCCGAGGATGACAGAGGAACACAGGGGTTCTTCTCCCACCTCACCCTACTGTGCCACATTTCTCCAGCAACCTTCTTCACTCCTTAGGAGAAATTTCTTTCACTTTCTTATTCCTGTCTCCCCAACCCACTCTCTCAGGAAGGCGCCACCGGTTCAACTAGAGAGCCACGTCCCACCCGTCATTCAAATCCTCCTTTTTAGGAAACGTGCTCTCAATACGTGGGCCAGGATTGATTCCCCACCCCCGCCCCCGACCAAACTGAAAGCACATACTTCCTTATAGGAATATAGTATTTTATTTAAACAAACTACAACATTAAGAAGTTACAACAAACCCCTTCTTCTCCAAAGAAAGCTAAGCGCGTCCGTGTTGGCTCTGGGGAATCGTCCGGCGGCTCAGGATGGTGGCGGGGAGTCGCCGCGCGGAGTCGGAAGGCACCACCGCCAGCCTGGATCCGGTAAAACTTGAATCTGCTACTGCCGGCGAGGAGCGGCTGCCGAACCGACGCCGGACGAACCGACGGCGGGCCGGCGCGCGCGCTGATTGGTCGTCCGGCCGCCCGGACCCACGCGCCTGCGCAGTCCTCCTCCCGCGCCGCCCAGCCCGCCGCCCAGCCGCGGGACTGCGGCCTCAGGAGAGTTCGGGCAGTAGCCGGCAAGCAGACAGCAAAGCGGGCCGACGGGTGGGCGCGGCCTGCTCTTTACGAGGAGGAAGGAGGGGGCCCCTTTCCCGGCCCCCAGAATCTCCCCAGCCCCTGCAGCCTGCCAGGCCGGCGAGGGAGAAGCTGAAAACCCCAGACGCTCTACCCGGTGCCGCCGCCGCCATGGCTGCCATGATGGGTCGGAAGTGAGCCTCAGGGCGACGGCTGCCGGCGCCGGCGCTTGGAGCCCCAGCTCCCCGGCCGTCTTCGCCGGGGAATCGCGGCGCGCCGACTGCTGACTCTCACGGCCTCGCGACCCCAGGTTCTCAGCCCCGGCCCCCTTTTTCCGAGACTGAGAGGCGGGGAGTGGTTCCCGGCTGCCGGCCCCGGCCGCGAGGAAGATGGCGGACCCGGCCGAGTGCAACATCAAAGTGATGTGTCGCTTCAGACCTCTCAACGAGTCCGAAGTGAACCGCGGCGATAAGTACATCGCCAAGTTTCAGGGAGAAGACACGGTCATGATAGCGGTGAGTGACCCTTGCCACCCTCGCCCACTCCCGTTTCGCTCCTTCGGGCCTGGCTGGGCCGGGAGTTTAGGGAAGTAGCGGGGTGCAGAATCGAGAGGCAACGGTGGTGCCCCAGCCCGCCCTCGCGGGATTTGCCGGTTCGGATAACCCAGGGGAGGGAGACTGCGCAGCTCCACAGGCATTCCTGGGTCGCCCCCACCCCGGTCTCCAGCGCCGCGAGACGGGAGGCACCCAGTCGCAGTCTGGGACACTCCCCGACCTGGGGCACTGGAGGAACCGTCCGGGAAGCAAGTTTAGTGCATAGCTGTCCGTGTTTATGTGTGTACAGTTACGGTTGCTGATGCTTTTGGTGTTTTGGACTACCCTCACGTTTACCTATTCGTAAAATAAGGAAGAATAAAGTTCAACTGGGAACACTGAGCTCTGAGACCAGCCCTTCTCTACCTTAAATAGTAAAGATACTTAGTTTTATAGAAACACAGAACTAGGTGTTGAACCATATTGTTTTCCCGGGGAGAAGAAAAAACCACCAAATAACTGCAGCTATGCTAACACCTCAAATGTTCACCCACTCGCCTTTTGAATGACGAATGACTTCCCATGTTAACAAATGGCAAATCGAAGACTGTAAAAAGAAATAGTTAAGTTTTCTTTTGAAATGGGAATGATCAACTTTGTTTAATTTTCTCGCAGTTCTGACTGATTCTGACTGGGTCAGTACGTGCTCAGAAAGATACAGAATCTCCAGTCTTACGGAGTTTTGTGGGATAACAGCCTAGGAAAAAGTGTTAAGTTTGTGTGCGTGTATCAGACAGAAAGTATTACAAGAGCAAGCTTATAAAAAAGATAAAAATTGACCAGTATTAGATTCATACTTATACAATTAAGATTTACCTGGAAGAATATTGATTTTGATACGCCTAAGAATAGTGAGATATTGTTCCTTTGTAGTGTCAGACCTAACCAGAGTTGGCTGATCATTGTCAGGGAGACCAGAACGTGAGGATTTTTGAGGTCTGATCTCTGGTATTGAAAGGACTCTGAATATAAACACTTCCTGGTTCAAGGAGATTAAAAAATGGGTAGTAAAATACTGCATACAGAACAGTGAACTATGACTAAAAATTAAATTCACCTTTCCTGGTAATGCCATGTGGTAGAAGCTTTTTACATTGTTATCATGGTACAAAATTTAAATATGCTAATTTTCCCTCTAATTGTATTCTATATTTAGTACTGTAGGGTTTGGGCTATTTAATTTGGAAATAGGGCAGAGAGGTCCCAGGAGATGGGACATTGACGATTGAAAGCATTGACATCTAAGACCGGACTAAAGTTCTTTAGGGTTTTAATGTAAAGGTTTCCAGAATTCACCTGTAGAAAATGAATGTCTTAGCTCCACATCGCTCTTGGTAGGCTTTAGGCAGGCAAGTTATTAGGTCACTGACAACTGACAACTACTACTACTGTGTGAAGACTGTCAGGCAGGTTCTTCGTTAACAAATCCACAAGAAAAACTCTTCGCTCATTAATGACGTCATAGCGAGACCGAGGTGGAGACGTTAAGAGCAGTAATCCTCTTCCTTTAGGGTGGTTTATTTTACATGGAATCATGAAGAAAGAGCCAAAAGAAAACAAATAATTATCACAGTAAACATAAATTTATTCTAGGTTTCCATTGGAGAAAGTTATTTGTAAGTTCTGTTTCAAAATTTCTTAAGTGGTGTAAATACATTTAAATTATAACATTGGAAGTAATGAATAGGTGATTGATTTGTGAACCGGCAGTGAACAGTTAGTTGGCCTTTAGGTAAACTGATAGTCTGTTTTTTTAAAGTATAAGCAAAAATACATTACAACAGAATGACATAGCCTTAAAAAATGTAAGGCAACGTGTTTATGTTTAGTTCATTGTTTTCAGGCACTGGTTTCTTGTATATAGTGACTACTTACTCTGAGGGGCTTTTTTTTCCAATGTTTTAAAATGAATTATTTTTTAAAAGCTTGTTTGGGAATTTATAAGCGCAGCTGGGAGGAGCGGAATTAGAAAATCTCTGGGTAAAATCATCTCTTAATTTGTTTTGTTCATTTTCTTGGATCCTGATTCATAATAAATAGAGAATTGCTGCAATGCAGCATTTAAAACTAAATTTTGTAAATATGATTTAAGAACATTTGTATACAGTCTTCTATTTAAATCAAAATTTAAAGAATAGTTTATGATGTTACTGAATTAAAAGCATAATCACTGCTCATGGAGAAAATAACTTTTAAGGACTCTGATTTTCTTCTAATTCAGTTTTTAATACTTTGTCCAAAAAAAAGTACTTTGTCTAAACTTTTTTCCTGTCACTGATGTAATCAATGATTTTTAATATAATATGACCCCATGGCAGTCAAGTCTTTCAATTTTATAGTGTTTCTCTGTGTGTTGTGCAGCTTTTCATACAGATTTATTTATAATGGGGCGGTGCTTGGTGAAGTGCTATCTAACATATCGAATGAAATAAATGGATTATTTTATAAAAACTTTTAAGTGATACAAATATAACCTAAACCTACTTGCTTTAAATTAGAGAACTTGTTATCCACAAAACAGGGAGAACAAAGGAAACAACCACTTAAGGTTAAATGAACTTGCTGAAACTACTAGGAAAAAATGAATAGAAAAAGTTATTTCTACATCTATTTATGCATTATGAAAGTAGAACATGCTCATTTGCATTGTTGAGTATCTTTACTAATCATAGAAATTAGAAGAGAATAAAACCAATTAGATAATCTTTCCCAGTTCCTTGGCTAAAGCAAAACATGATTTTCCTTTTCATTTGAATGATGATTTGGTGTTTGGACTCTTTGATTACCTTAAGAGTGAAAATTAAAAGAGAAATAACTTTACACTTGTGGAATGTTAGCCCACAAGCAGTGACTAAGGAAAATCTAATATAATACAGTCTCATGTGATCTGAAAAGATCACTATTCAAAATTGCGGAGAAAGGCATCTGCCTGCCAGAAGGGTGTCCTTCATAGCCAAATTTGGTGTTCGGCCTCGTCTGTTCAGACTCAAATAGGAATCACTTCACTTATGAAATCTAAGGTATGGTTGCAGCTCAGATAAACTTATTCCTATTTGGTTTGTCCCCTTGAAGCCTAAGTCAAAAGTGAGTGTATCTTGTGACTTGGAGTAATTAGTAAAATTGAAATTTGAAACTTGGAATATATTTGAAGATATATAGAATAAAGGCTGCATAATGTACATTTCAAGGTTAAGAACCAGGTGTTTAGGTGTCCAGATGCTGAGTTTTCCTTTGTTTAATTAATTTTAGAGATAGAAATAATGCCTTAATTATAGAACATTAGAAATTTTTATGTTTCACAAAGTCATGATATTTATCCCAGGAAGCTAGGGTCAGTTGGTAACTTATGGCTAGATCTTTAATCAAAACATTTACCTTACTTAATATACGTAATTATAATTTGGTTTTGCAGTCAAAATAAGGAGACTTTTGTCAACTTGATGCTGGGCACTTCTATTAATTTTTTATTTAACAATGTTATAACTTCTAGAAAAATAATCACTCAATCTCAACTTAGTTATTTTCATGTTTGTGTGGTGCCTTTTAATAATTGCCATTTTTATTATTTTAGTAAGGTAGTGATAGTTTGCATATTTGCTGTAAGGTGATGCTAGAGTAAACAGCTGCATAAAGTATTAAGGCAGGCTTTATTATGTTATTTTTGGCATATCTCTTCGTAAATGGTTTAGGAGCATTATTTTCTATTGATGTAAAAATCGAGATATGAGTCAGAGCTCAATATTGTTCTTTCTATTCTTTGAATGTATATTTTAGTAATATTATTTGACTTATTTTGTAGGGATGCATTTGTCTTCATACTTTTACCTATTTTCTGTTGAGTAACTTGTTTCTTCCAAGCAAAATTAGAATTAATAATTTTTTTGCTTTCATATTATTTTTACACGTTATT